TGATGGAGCACCACTTTTAAAAAGGTAATTTTGCGCTAAATGGAAAGCTCTTTGTCGAGGCTTTTAGAATGTTCGACAAATCGTAAATTATCGAATAAAAAATATCTACACGCGACGGATTGATTTCCTCGGATACATGTATTCTATTCGATAGCGAGATATTATTGATTCATCGTTCTACACTCGTTGTGCTCAGAAGCGAACGGCAAACGTCTGTTTTTTGCTTACACTGACATTTTTGCCGATTTATGCTAGAGATTATAGAGTAAGTAGCTTCAAGCAAACCCTGTGTCAATGCCCTCCCACCTCTAATGCAACTGGAGTAAACAAAATTTTTAGGAAGTGTGTATGGCAGAATGGAGGCAGAATATTTTGAGCTACATTATTTGGGAGAATAGCTATATGCTGTGCCTTCTTCAGGCGCCCCATTTGCTCCAGGCGCGTTAAATTTCTGGCATTAATGGAAGCCTACAAAATATTATGGAAGCGATTTCTCTATAGATAATTCGTTTTTGCTAGGATCATAGCATTTTGAATCGCTTTTTGAAAATATAGGCCATATTTGGAAAGTAATTCTTTAAATGTTTACAATACTTTAATTTAAGCCTCGCCATATCAATATTACCTCAAATAATAAAACTTAAATGAATTTATTTATCCATACTAACAAGCGTAATAAAATATTTTTTTTATGAGCCGGATAGAAATAAAATTACCTGTTGCTAGTTAAATGTGTCGTTTTATATGATAGGTTTTTAATCCACGATAATGCAACATACCATGAATCCTCCAAATTTTTTTTTCTTTAAAATTGAAAACAAAATTATTTTTTTTTTCTAATGCCCTCAACCTTTGAAAAAAAGATGCTTTTGATAGCAATGTTTTACTATGAAAGGGTCAAATATTGAAAGTAGCGGGTCGTTTCGCCAATTAGCTTTCAGTGCTTGACGAACTCGTGGTGCCGTGTTAGCGGTGTCCGATTACACGTTCCTGTTCCATTTTAAGGTCGTCTATGGGCAAAGTATGCTGTGAGGTGTGTAAAAAGAGGTGCAAAGGTAATGTCTTGAAAGCTAATGAAAAGTATTTTCATGAGGAATGCTTTAAGTGCTCAGGTAATCATTGTTTTTTGTTGACGTCGTGTAGATTGCAAACGTAGTTTGAAAACTGGTGGATTTTTCACCAGAAGCGATAAGTACTATTGTCAAAAAGACTTCCAAAAGCTTTCGGCTCCTAAGTGTAAAATTTGTGGTGATGTTCTCAAAGGCGACATCGTGTCGGCGCTCGCATATTCCTTTCACAAAGGCTGCTTTGTTTGCTGCCAATGCAAGTAAGGCGTTTCCTTTATTAACTTTCAAGCTGTTGACAACCTAGTATAACCGCTTTATCTTGTTTTGATAACAGTTTGATGCCATGAAACATTATTTGATTTCTAAATAAGTTTGTAGTTTCTTTGACAGGTGCGGTTTAGTAATTAGGCCTTTTGAATGGTCGTATGTCGTATTAGTCAGAACACCTCTGTTCTAGAAGTGGCTTTCGTCGATGGAATTTAACACCGATACTTATTTACGAGAGGGTATTTCGGCTGCCAACCGAAATGCCTGTGTATAGAAAGTCGAAATCGATTCGGAATTTACGTTTGAATGAAGTACATATTATACGGTTTTGGGTGAATCCTTCATTGTTTCGTCTCCTTTTATTGTTTGCAAACAATATAAACCGAATTACTCGGCTATCTGTGCAGAAGATAAAAACTAAACTGCACGCTGAAAACGTATTTATCATCCATGAGTTTTTGATCTCGTGAAGTCGACCCACAAGAGATTTGCTCGAATGATAAACTACGAAGGATTTTATCAATTAGTATCTTTACTAAAGTTTTCGTCCCACTCTAAGTATATTCCTCAGCGAAGAACTTTGTGCGGGTTACTCCGGGTAGTCAGATATGATGTTACTATTTTGATAACTCCTTGTCTACCCCTATTCCGATTGTCTGCACGATTGTGCTGTCATGGTGGAACGTATCTATTTTAGATGGTAGCTTAGATCAACTGATATCCCAAACTCTGAATGTTTTACTTTTGAAACTTGTGGGTGGTTGGTTTTTTCTTACTTTACCATTGGAAATCCCGAACCAGCGTTAGGTTTTCTGTTAAAATGGACACCTGCTTGTCACTATACTCAATGGGTCCCACCATTTCGAACTTAAACGATAGTTCGCTGCCCTTTTCTTTTTGAGAACCCCATTTAATCCCGGCAACCGCGTCACCGTTTGGAAGGACGAATTCTACTGTATCTGTTGTTCCGAGTCTCTTTCTACTGCCTGCAGACAAGTATCCGACCACAAGGAGGTCATTTCTACTACTTCTCTCCAGAGCCAGTATCATGCACCTATTCAGCCCAGGCTCTCCTTTGCAGACCGGTCGTCTCCCGTCACTTTCTCTGAAGGTATCGATGACAAAACCACTATTATTCACAAAGCCAGCAATGGGAGTATTCTTAAGCCTTCTCTTCGACAGTCCCAGACCAGTCAACCCGTATCCACTGGATACAATGGTAAGGCAGATTATTGGGAAGAAAATTCTATACTTGATATGTTCTATAACTTCAAAGTATTATTGACATTTCTATGCGTTCCCATTTTGTCGAAAAAAATCTCATCTATGTCATGTTCAAAAATAAGTATGATAATTCTTAATGTCTACTCACTAGTACTAGGCCGCTTAACCGGTATCATAGTCAGGATTATAATCAATCGTGTCATAAATCCGTTCTTGACCGATATGGGTACTCACACAATTACATGAGTGACCGAAATAGGCGTTCACTTAAGAGCTTCCAAGTAGTCTGAGTCACTAATATTTTGACTATGAAATTTCAGCTGGTAAACATAAGTATTTTGACTCCTCAAAAACTGCAATTTGCTTTGGTTCGTGCAAAAATAAATGAAACCGAGATATTTCAATATACATGGACAAAACATGAAAATAGGTCCCTGTGCTATCATTATTTCATATCTAAAATTAGTTAACTTGCAAGTTCAAGCAATTTTTTGAAGTTAAAACGTGTATCCCGGGGATTTCGCGTGAAATATGTTAAGGTAATCCGGCCAGCAAATCGAATTTAACAATCTAGTCACCAGAGCAAGACTTATCAGATTAATGCACGTGTTGTGGCGAATGTTCCTTATTGGCTACTTTCACAGCAGCTTGTGTTCGCCATTTCTTGGGCGCAAATTTTTGGCTTCGCATGCGCAAATGTTATTTTTGTCCTGAATGCGGAAATCGCTTGAAGGCATAGTGTCTTGTTTTGTCCCAGAGACCTTTTATCTGCTTTAAACCCATTAAGTAATGGTAAAATATGTTAAATTGCGAAGTGCTTTTTCTTCAAGATCGTGGATTTATACGTGGGGGATATCATGCGATTTAAAGTGGCTCCGAAAATCACCAAACTTGCATCTGTTTTAGCTTAAAAGTTACAAATGTTAGGGTGCGTCAAACCATTAAGGAAAAAGTTTCTCTAAATAAAACGTTTCCGTGAAAGATTGCTGCAGTCGGTATACAGCAATGTGACCCATTAAAAAGCGATGTTTATTTAAATTTTTAGATCACAATCATTTCTGCAACGATTAACCCAAGGAACTCCATGGGTTTCGTGAGGGAGATTTAGTTTCTTCACAGAAGCTATAATATAGACATTTAATTAACCAATTGTTGTTAAAGTCCCATATAGTTAGTCAATTGTTCCAGGTGCAAACGGAATTCGAAATCTCACTTTTCGGCCGTTATTCTCATTTTGAAATCCTAACTGCCAATAGTTTACCCGCGCTACCAGTTTTCAATTCCGGGTCTGGAGTACATGGTTTAGACATGTCGATTTACAGGCTTGATTATTAGTGAATCATTGTTGATTCTTGATCACCGGTTATAAAATCGTGATATTTCTAGTTTTGGATAGACTGTCTATTCGTTGACGTCGCGTAGATAATCACATTCAATGAATTTTGTTCCTTTGGCTGTCCTACACTCATTCGTATGTATACTTGCCCACAGTGATACACTAATGTTGAAAACACTTAAATAGTTGCAAAAACCTTCGTTAATGGAATGCCTCATCCACTATAGCTACAGATCGAGTAAATTTGTTCCCAAATCTCACATGGGCCCTGGGGGCAAAGCCCACTCTAATAACAGTCTACTATCCCTAGCTAAACAGCATGATAAAATGTTTACATCGTCACTTTACCTGTTTTGGTCGACGTAAGTTGTATATCAGCAGAAATAGTTTTCGGCGCATCACCGAAACATCTAAAGGGTCATGGCAGGACTTAACCATTTACGCTGATCGCCTACGAGGCAACAGACAAGCTGAAGCCCACAACACCTTTTACTTGCCTGAACTTTCCACACTCCAAGGGCCCAATCGTCGTTTTCTCGAGTGTTTTAGGGGACCTTCTAAGTGCCTTTCAGAGTCTTCAAATGAAAAGAAATGGTTCATATCAACGAATGCAATGCGAATAAAATATTGTTTCCTTCCACAGCCTTAAATCAGCTGCCCTAGTTACGAATACACAGTCCAAAAGCAACCCCCGGCCTAAGCCGTCCACCGGCCTTCATAATCATCTGCAACCCGTCACGACTATACGGTCCGACAGATGCGTGCATTGGCCAGATAACTTCTGTGTATGAGCAATACATGTTGAGCATTTCAAAAGCTCAGGCAACGTGTCACTACGTTTGCGTTCCTTGTTGCAATTTAACAAAAAGCACCAAGAAAGCAGTTACGAACACCTGTTAGGCAACAGCCAATACTATAGCAAGTGAACATCAAAAGCACTGTCATCTTTATCAAACCAATGAAGTCTTGCAGCAATCAGTGTAGTACGTTAGATGTTCTTAAGAAAGCTCGCGAATACTATGTACTAGCCATGAGCAAACTGGTCATAAGTTTGCTTATGTAACCTCATCTTAACGTTTCATGCGCGCGAACTTTTGTTTAATACATTTTTGCCCTATTCTCGTATTGCATGTTGTCGCGAAAATGAACGGAATGGTGTGACGCCCGATAAAACAATGTCTACGAAATCGAAGGGAGTATACTTTCTGTTTTGTTCCCAACAGGTGCTCCTAGCCTAGTTGTAATTGTTTCTAAAAAACTTTCAACTTTATACACGTCCACCTTTGATTTAAGTTGAAGTAACGACTTTTAAGAAAATAAGGTGATTGCTGCAGTTTCGGAGCTATCCGGGCGATTGTCTACAAAGTGGTTGTGGTTTTGAAGTACTCCTTATGTTGAGACTCATTCACGCTCCCATAAGTGACTAAGAACCTATCTAAACCCACACCCACACTTGTGATGAGGTATTGATCTCAATGAATTGATTGAACTTTTACACATTCATTCACTCATTCTAGTCTACTCGTCAATTGCCTTAAGCCTTACGAGTAACCCTGTTCTGATTTCGAATATATTACTCTTACTTACCAGGTATGTAAGTCGCATGAGTAGAAGTGATGTTTTATTTAAGGAATGACAAGTTTTAACATATATTCACACATTCACCAGTATTTTAAGTGGACTTAAGTAAGCTCGGGTTTAATATGCTTGTCCTCGAATAGCCTATTTAAACCTTATTCACTTTTTACGTAAATTGGCAAGCAAAATATTGCTACAACGTCAATCGCAATGTTTTCCAAACCTTTTGTGAGTCGGAATTAATGTCCTACAATTTCCCACCATAAGGTACTTTATAATGTGTCCACTCGTTAAGATTCTGCTAATCGTTTTTGGTTCATACCACCAACTCCTCCGCGTCCGTTTAAAGCAGGGACCACTTGATTGTATTCTTTTTCAGAAGATAGTGCACCCTATTTCCAACACATTTTCTCACGAAATTGTATTTTGGTTGACCTTGTTACTTGGCTAATAGTAAGGCTTGGCGAATTTACTTATACTCTACTAATCAAGACTCTCAGTTACCCGCAAAACCATTTGACCAATGTTGACTATCGAAGTTTGAGCCTCCTGATTTCCAACGTAGACTTTTTAAACCCACCTTCCTAGTTTGGGTAAATTTGTGGTGCTGAGCTCGGGTATCTGTCTGACAGAGCTTACCGGTGAGGCATTCAAACCAGTTACATTGCTTCGTTGAACGACGCGTTCCCGCGATCCTCTCAGAGCAGTTTTTCGGCCTATTTTCAGTGATGTTGGTTTGACTAGCTTCCTTAACCATCAGAATTGTGGTGACTGAGCACTATCTCTTTGTTTTTCAGGTGGTGGACCTGACGTCACTGGTCGCCTCCGGCCCGTACGTTCATTTATATTTTAAACGAAATTAACCCTCAAATTAAACTAGTTCCCGCGAAACATAATGCTTAAATTGTAGAGGGAATGGGCCCGAGTATATTAAAACCCTGACATTGAAGCCTGCTAACTGGAATGTCTAATTCCGTGGAAATTTAACTGGCCTAGGTTGTATTCAGTTTACCGTAAAAATCAACCACTTCTCCAAAATTCATTGTGCAAAGGCAATTTGTCACAACCTCTTATATTTGGCTGCCTGATAGCCGTTTGGCTTGTGCTGCGGTTAAAACGTGCTCATTGCTTTACCTCTCTTCTTCAACGTCTTACCTGAAACTCCGTAGTTGGTTCTGCTTTGTTCGATATGGCCCGATGCAACCTACTTGACTTCGTTTTCTTCGTGGGTAGAATCAGTCCTTGTGACTTTCTAGGTGTCTTAGTTTTATGATGATTCATAATTTCCTTGTGTAAGCATGTAAGTACTCCCACACAACACCGGGTTGGCAAATGAGCTATTGCCGAGACTTCCAAGCGTCAGAGAGGTTTTGGTTTGGGTAGAAATGCGGGGAAGTAGCCAAACTTTTGTCAATGAATCTGATATGATTTTCCATTGTTGGGAATCGTGGTTTATATTCATTGGTTAAGTGGAATCGGTGTCTTTTAGCCGTTTTAACTCCAAATTTTTGTCATGCTAGTAGTAAAGACGCCGCGTTGATAATAGATTAGCTTCGCATGTAATGTCACGTTTAATTCAATAGCCCTTTTTGGTCTTCCGCAACACTCAATTTTTACACATGGAACTATAGGGCAGACCAAAATATACGCTACAATAATCGCAAACTCCGGGCGCTGCATCCCTTTATAAACAAACACTGCAAAACAGGAACACTAAAGTCCCGAAAGCATTTCCTATCACGCTTTACTCGTTAGTATTTGAGGAAATTGGAAGAGCAAACCCCACGCTTACCTGCAGACAATTGATGGTTGAAGGCCATCTTAAATTAGTCGCCCATCGGGCGCGTGGAAACCGATTTTCTCTATAAGACAAAAGCGTAATGTGATGTCTCACGAATTTTCAGTATTTGCGGTCCTATCTTTTTTTATTTTTAAATGTGGCCTTTTTTATGGCCGATTCCTCCCAAAGGAACTAAGTTATTCATGTGGTTTCCGATGAGTGCGTGTGTAAGCTTTAGTAGTTTTTCGGTGAAATTTCGGCAACTAATTGGAAATGTAGTAATTGTCGTCTTTGATTTTCTCACTTAGTTCTCCACATTTCCCTAGTGAAGCAGAAACAACTAATGAAATGTAAAGAAGTCACATTTTGTTAGGTAACCTTGATAATGTTTCACCAAAATCATTTCCCCGTTCGGTATCTTTATTTAGGTTCACTTATTTTGTCATCAAATCCCACTATTACTGTTTTCATTGCTATAAGTGAAATGTCTACTCTCTTACTCGACCTCTTTATTTTGTTGAAATCACTCCTGTACGTGTGATAGGCGACCTTTGCGTAGGTAAAGGTGGATGAAGTATTTCGCATATTAAAGGGATTTTTTCGGACTCAATTTTGTGGATCTGTCGTCAACATTGTGTGTTACTGCGACTCACCATACCACCATATTTAGCCCTTAAAGCTTCAAATTCCTGTATGATTATCCGCCTCAGTTAATGTAGTAATGTCATTGTTAAAAATTATGGTTTTGAACGTCACCATTCTCTGCTCACTAAATATTTGAATCTCAAAACCAACCCCAAAAGTCTGCCTACGTTACCACAAAACCTAATTGTCTCCACTGCTGAGCTATTCCATTCTCGGTAACCGCTTTTCTGAATTAAACGCGTAAGCTCATGCGTTTTATTATCAGGCGGCACGCATTGGGAAGCGTTTTCACGTAGTGTGTTATTGTTGATTCAAATTCGTCATTTGAAAAGGAGGGTTTTCGACTGCCTTTAGTGCTAGATCTCGCTCAATCGTTTACCTCTTCCCTTTTTCATCTTCGTTTACCTTTGCGAGATTACATCATGCGTGGTTTTGGCGGAAGACCAGTGTTTTGAACTATTCATAGTTCCGTAGTATTTCTCCCGTATTTCCGTAAATCTCCCTTAAGGTCTGTTTCCTGAGTAAGTTGGGTCTTTTAAACAGGGGAACACTTAAACTTTGCTTATCCCCTCAAAAACCGGATCGTTAACACTATAAAGCATCGTTTTACCACTACAGTTCGCATAAATTTCTTTGCAATGCCCGGGTTGTTGCTGTTGTTGGTGAGGTTCGAGTAATAGCGATTTGTGCGGGTTTCCATTTGCAGTTTCCCATGACGTTGTGGCCGTATATGCAAACGCGAACTGCTTTCAATACAAAATATGCCCCGACCAAGCGAAATGACTGCCGTCGAACCGCTCGCGTGTACTTAAACACCAAACCAATAATTCCAAGTTTTAGGTTAGACGCTCATGACCCAAGTTAACCGATTCACGCTCGTCGTACGGTTTTCTCGCAAATGAAAACGTTTCCTCGACAGGCGGTGTCACAAAATTATGCAATTCGAGAAGGCTCCTATAAATATTCTCGGAATGCAGAATATTGTTTCAGGTTTTTTTCTTTTGTTCGCCCGACTTAGTTTGAACTAGTTTTCCTTCCTTCTTTCATAGGACCTGACCTGCTAGTCTATTTTGTCTCAAGAACACGTTTCTAAATTATTGACTGTGATACACTTTGGTCTAAAATACTGCGATATCCACCATACACATATCTGTATAGCAGGTTCATGTGGATCTTGGTATAATTCGGTAATCCCGACTGGTCAACTTACAGCATTTGATAGAATGCGTCAGAATCACTTAAGTTTACATCGCTGAACTGCACTTATTTCAATGGCTTATTTCGCGCTCCTCCTTGAATGTTTTATTTTGGAGTTTGTAAGACACCTTTCCAAATTTATTTGTGTTTGAGTTAAAAACTTGATCCATTGGACACTTTAAATCGACTAGAATCTGCGTTTTGTGGTGGTACCTATGCTGAACCGTTTCATGCCGTATCTAGTCTACCGCCACATCATCTACTGCGTTTACCTATAGTACGTTAATTTATGCAAGTACTGGGATTTTGTCGATGATGCCACAGTTTTGCGATGCTAATTGGCGGCATTGATTATTCCACTATGCAGTCGTAAATAAGATGGCCATTGTTACTTAATCTCGACACAAACCGTGTTATGTAGCAGTTGACCTTACTCGCTCGTTACCGCAAATGCATAAGTGCCTCCTTGTGGGACTTTCCATCTAGTAATCTAAAGCAAATTTTACAGGCCATAAAGTGCGGTGCAACATGACGGTTCATGAGTCTTGACTGGGCCGTTTTGCCTTTCACAACAACAAATGAATTTATTCGAAGTGGTGTTGTCTCAAGTGAATCTCAAAGCTTTTAAAACAGACCATTACGTCTCTGTGCTTCCTTTATCTTTTTTTGCATATTACCATCGGTATAGTTCTGTCTAACTGTAACCATTAACGACGATTTATTCTGATGCATTCTAATTACAAATTAGTTTGCAAAACAAAAAATTTGCAAGTGTATGAATGAGCGCTAACTTTGTTGTAGAATGCATGCTGACTGTGGAATGAAGCAATTACGACTAAACAACAGCAAACTATCTAATGGGCTTAATAAATAGGCTTGCTCTCGCGATATTCCTTTCTTACTTCTCTTCGAGAGTCATCACCTGTTTAAACTCACACCGTTCAGTAATCGCCGTTGTAGTAGCGATACATATTACTGCACGAATGCAGAAGAGACTTAACAATGCGTATATTCGAGGTATCGATCTTAGCATTTGACGTGCCTCACATAGGTGAAAATAGTTCTTATTCGTTACCCAAGTTCCTTGGAACTTGAGCAATATTTGGTTGAATTAGTTACTCATCGACCTAACAAATTAACGTTCCACAGAATCAGCACGACTAATGCAAGTTTTTTTTATGTAACTTTAACAATCTTCAGTCACCATTTATCAAGGGCTTCGTGTTCTGAATGAAGGGGCACCCCATTGCCTCGTTTTTCGTTCATCAAACTCATTTTTCTGTTAAACAATTCTTTATTCGTTCAGGCGTAAAATTCAACTATAATAATGGGTTGTCGACCCTCTTCAGTTTTGCCTGAAAATGTCTCAAGTCTCCATTTTCGCCTTTGGTCGATTTGAAAACTTGCGGCGGCCATGGTATATCGTTCACAGAAATCGTACTTTCATCATCGTCAGTTGACTTCCATCATTTCCTTGCGGGAAATCCTCTTACCCCAACGCTTAGTCACCAGCACACAAAGTTGAATCACATTTGGTGATTCACCATGCTGCTTCGTGATGGCCATGTGTCGTAGCTGTACATTGAAGAACATCATGAATTGCATCTAAATATCACTGCCTTTACTAATCCTGCGAAGAAATTCAAGAAGTGGTATCGCACAATTTCGTCCTGCAACTTTTCAAACATCAAAAAACGTTTTTAACTCATTTCAACATTCCCTAAAAACCCACTGCGTGTAGAAATTTATTTTCGTTCCATTAATTTTGCTGTATTTTACTTTATTGTGTCTTATCAAGGGTGTATTCCTTCCCCTTCATAAATCTAAAAATGGGCGCCATGATTTTAAATGTTGATAATGGAATTAGGCACTTGATTGTTCAGACGATCCTCATACCATCCATCTAGCTTCAAGTGTGCGTAGTTGACCCTTTTGAAAACCAGCGCATCATTCTAACATTTGTCAGTACTCAGCAAAATTTACTCACAACAAGCGATAAATATTTGTCATCCATGTGGAGATAAACACGCCACAAACAGTGTTCCCCTTGTTAGTTTTCCTGTGACGATCTGTCCTAAGCTGCTAATCTTAGCCTCTTACACTTTCGGTCCACGCCGTTCGTCCCCAACAAAAAGCTTCGTAAGTTGACTCCGTGGTCAGTGTTAAGAGCTACTTTGAGATTTTAACCTCGTGAATTTCCTTCTACTCATCTTGCCTGGTCATTGCTAATTAATAGTTTGTTGCGAACGGCTGATTGCATAATTATATGCTATATACCTTGGATACTCTTCATCAAAATACATCACAATTCCCTTGTTTCCAAATGAATTTCCTACCTAGGAATGTGTGAAGCATTTACATCTACTCTCCCACGGTGTTAATCCCCCTTCTTGCACTCACGTATTTTAAGTTGTTTGCTTTTCATTAATCAATAGTCGGGGGGGTGCACTTTTCAGAGTTGCCTGAGCCATACCTACAGCCTCAGGCTGCGGCCTCCACAACTCACGGCTTCGCCTAGAAAAGGCTGCAACCACACTATGACCCCTTTATTACTTTCGTGGAAGCGGCTTTCGCGATGTCGGTTGTGGGTCCGAATGGATGGCAACCGACGTGATGACGCGACATGTGTGCTGTTTACGTCTAGCTTCCTTGTCCACATTGTCCGACTGTCTATATGCGTATGCGCGGCATTGCTTATGAAATTTTGAGGTATTTACATCACCATCTATGTCTGGGCCTACTTCTTGGTGCATGGCTTTTGTGGCAAACATTTTCAGAAGTTAATCGAGTTTTTATTAACCCCAAATTCTTTTATTTGGTCATCGAACTTATTTGGAAAGGGGGCCCTTGGAGAACCAACCCACCTTGTGCCGCTGGAGTTCTTCTGTTTAGTTTATATAAAATTGGACGGACAATTAAATTGGTTTCGAGGATATGCAAGTCACTTTTTTCCTAGATTAGATTCTTCTATCGATGTCCCAAGCCTTGCAAAAAAATTCCTTTTATTCATTTCTTCACATTCTTATTTAGGTAATGGAATTCGTATTTCTTACTTTCCTAGAGGCATGTTTCGATAACGTATTTGTCAATCACGCTGAAGGTATATGAATGAGAATTTACTTTTGAAATACCTTATTGATGATTGCTTTGTGGCCATTCAGCATTATCCAGCACAATTCACTGAGAACGCATCTATTCTAGACGCTCGCCAAGCAATGGTCCCTAGACAAGCCCTCCCAAAATCACAGTTCTAGAGCTTAGCCATCCCTCTATTTGCACAATTTTCGAAAGTTTACTGTTTTTATCAATCGACAGCATCCCTAAAAGTACCACTCGAATATCATAGCACTTGTCGTCTTATGCTCTTCGTCTAACTCTTGAGTTTGTTTAAAAAAAAGCCTCAAAATGATGTGCTTAGTGAATCAAAATAGTTCTTTTGATCTTTTTTGATTAAAGGGAAGAGAACGGATAATTTAACCGTTCAGGATGCTATGTTTGTACTGAATCCATCACGTAGTTACGTCCTATTTTTGAAAGCCATTATGTATCTGAAAGTGATTTCCGTGTTTGATTTGCATGACACATTAATCTAATTGGTTTTCGTTTGCTCAAGGTTGATAAACGTACGTGAGGTGACTTTTTTCATAATTCCTCTTTTCAAATTGACTATTTGCTTTGAAAACCAAAATGTTCCATGGTTTCTGGTCGCTTTTTAATTCTTTTTAATGTAAATTTATTAAATAATCAAAGCATGACATTTCATTTGCAACTTTTTTTCCATTTGTCTCACCACATTTGTGTAGCTACTCTATTCGTAAAAACACCGCAACCCAGCATTAAATGGACTGGTTTGTTTTAGCTGCAGAGTACAGTAAAAGCGTGCCATTACGGCAGTGAGTCCTGAGGTCCGTTTTAGTGCAAACGGGACAAATATCTAACCTCCTCATTAAATGTCGGTGCGCATGCGTCAGTTGCCTATACTAAGAGGCATTTCATCTGAATATCATTGGTTTTACATTGGGTTTTTTTCTTTATGTGGTCTTTATACTCCACCCCAGTGTTTTTCTGCCTAAAGAAGTCATTTAACATGAGTTTTGAATTTTACTCGTTTGTTGTCTTGGTTTGCAGGAACGCGTTTACAGCTAAGCTCTTATTGGGTGTTAACCGGTAATCAATGGGTCAACGCCCAGTAGATTGTTGCTTATCTGAATTGCTCCTGTAAATATATGGCACACTTCCAGTATTTGTCGTTGCTAATAGCAGTTAGCCTGAAGTCATTGAAAATGTTATTTTTTGGTATAATACGTTTTATGGAATTAGACACTTGGGATATGGGATAATAACCTACACTTGTGGATTTATAAGGAGTACGATTTCCCGTTGCAAATCTTAAATTGTGCTTATTTTGCATGTGCTTAAATTCAAGTCGTCTTCTTGTACCTTATTGTTTCACTTTCGTGTCAGTTAGTATTTGATTTACTTTTGGCACTTCCAGTTTTCGATCAGACCTTATTTTTTTTACTTAGCCAAAATCCTTTAAATAAAGCAATCCTTTCCCTTGGCAGTGGCATTCTGTATTGTTGCGGTTAACATCTTGATGTCATTATGAATTTAAAAAGTGAAAATGCAATTTTCAGCCTGTTAATGTTTTTCTTTGCGGTACTTTTTGCTTGAAGGTCGTGTTTGAAATAACACGACAGAGTAACTGAAAAAAAATTAGTTTCTCCTCGTTATATCCTGGATAATTGAAATTATGGGTGAAATTTTAGAATAGGAATTTTTGGGATTTAAAATGTCTTCCCAGGTGGGCCACGTTTCCCATTTTCCTTAGTCTATTTAGTACCTCCCAGCTGGCTTTGCAAAATGTCACACTGCAACAGATGTCGATATTTTATCTCTTTTCTTTATTACAAAGGTTTTGGACCGAGTCCTGGCTTTACTTTCTCTTAGAGCCCTCCACCTTAATTTTTTTCTGTAGGTGGTATAGGTCCCAGTCATGAATTTCGTTAAATTTCGCACGATCGCCCCCAGATTCCACTCATGTTGTAGTTGTGAACTTAATTCATACCTAGCGCATCCCTCTCAATTTGCATGATCTAATGCCTTAGTGTTGATTTAGTTGTCTTATGCTAAATTTGTGACTTTCCAAACTTTTTACTCTTTTTCCGATATCTATATTGGCACTCTGAGTGACATTATAGATACCCAAACATTCATCCACTAACAGTTACAGCCAAGCTGGCATGCCATGTCATTGGAGCCGATGCCACGCATTGCTGTTCACCCAAATGTCCGCTGACCCATTCAAACAGCACGCTATCTTTCCACTTTTGATTTCGTAAATCTGTGCCATACCACTTGCCTTATTTACAAATTGTAGTGGATTAGCTCTAGTTTGATCTAAAACAGGAGTCCGGAATGCTCATGGTGCATTAGATTTTGTCTGCGAGTGGGTGAAACAGTTGCTCTTTTAGTTTTTAGTTCATTGTTTGTAGGTTGGTTGCTGTACGTGTCAGCTGGCAAAGCAATAACCATTTTAAGTACTTGTTTATCTTTGAAAGAACGCCAAATTTAAGACAATTTTTGGTGCCGATTGCGACTGGATTAATAGTTGCTGGGTGTTTGCGTACTGCTTGTCTTGGCGTCTCGTAAAATTAATCCCGTCATTCATTTCGTCCTAGTTCGTTTTGAAGTATATTTATTTACAGCTTGAAATCTAAATCTTCGTGTCCCATTATTTATCGCAGCAAAATGTGAGTGCAACACTACCCGTGGAATCATTTCAAGATCAACTGAACCCTGACTTCACTCCCCATTCCTGCACCTTTGGCCCCCAACACTCCCGATCCGTGAGTTGAGTCTACTTTTCGTTGAATCCACTGCTGGAGGTACCTGGGGCTGCTTATCTGTTTATGGTCATAAAAAAGGTCAAGCAAAAATCGCTCCTTATATTGACATTTCAAGCAGAGATTCAAGTCATGACTCATTTTGGAAAAATGCCTTATCAATAGCTTGCTTGTTCGTTTATTAAATTTTTTTATGAAAAAGGGATTCCGGATAACACGTCATTTTATTTGATGAGGTTTGCTCTGTTGATTGAAATTCATTCACATATTTTAATATGTGCAGCATTATTTTGAAAACCGACGATACATGAATTTCACCGGGTTGTCGTGTTTGAATAACAATAATTATATGATTACCTTCGAAGATTTCGTTGTACTATCGTGCGCATCACTAACGTTCTTGAGACTTAGGTTTTGGGATATGATACTTGTTAATGTATCCATCAAACAAGAACTTTTCTTAGTGACATCAGTTTTAATTAGAAAAGCTTCTACACATAGTTCATTTCTAACCAAAACACTGTAGTCATATTTTGCGCTCACGTCGTTAGGATGATTCATAGGTGCTGTTGGAGATCCTTATTCATTACTGAGTTGCTCTAACAGCAACTTACCACAGAGCTAAGAACATCTCAAGTTTTTTTTTATAGTCAAAGTAAATATGCCTAGTTGTCTACCTCTACTGTTAATTGTGCTCAACTCAGACTCCAGAAAAATTTTATAATTTTGTTGTTGTCTAAGTATTGAAAAAAAACTGGGCAGAATTAGTCTTTCACCTTAGTTTAACCTTTGGTGGGCCCTTTTAGCACGCTCAGACCGCGTACCCACGTGTCATTCTTTTTTTATTAACAAAGTTGCATGCATCTGCTCGCCATCCATTTTCGGAATATGGGCGGTTCTACAACCTGTCCTACGCAAGCATCGCCGACCAGCCGAGCCGTCGATCCACAGACGCCTATCGACGCAACGGTCTTCACACTCCTGCCACATCGAACAGCACCTCTCATGTGCAACATTTCCACATACCTCAGGGTAAGTATCCCCTTGGTCATCTTGAAATAAATAACGAATATCAAAGATGGACAAGTTAACGAAGCGGTACAGACAGAGTTTTGTTGCTCTAGGCTAATCTACTGACTTAGGACGCTGTGGATTTCTTTCACTAAACAGATTGTTTATATCCTATTTCGCAGACGGAACTAAAAATACGTCTTCGTCGCATTGGTCGTCTACATACGTGATAATGCGATAATCAAATCCTTGGGAAATGTAGCTGGTTAAATACTTTGCAGTACTCCAGCTTAGTGTTGAGTATCAAATTACTTATCTCGTTTTACTTTATCCGAGTCATTTCCTATTTTTCGTTTTTTTATCCCCTTAATTTATCTTACTTCGCGTCGCATATTAGCATAATTAGTCGTCTGAGTTTTGTCGCTTGCTGTACCCATATTATGTTTTGATTACGTCATCCAGCCAAATTACAAGCTTATTCTTTTTCTCATTCTTTTTTTTAGCTTAAGCACATAAATTTTAATTAGTTGAATGCATGTGGCCTTTGCTGCTGAATCATTATTATTTTACCAATTCACCGTTCTCTCACAATTCGACCAATATATTCCTAACAGAAAAGCATGGTTGCTTCATAAATAATGGCAATTCTGCCCCTATGCAGTCAGATCTACCCAACCGGCATTTTTTTCAATTTTTGGCATCATTTGCCGCACTTAGGTCGCCAAAAGACATGGCACCCCAGCGTTTCGTTCAAGACAACTTGTTCGATTCACTACTTCTTTTCCAATGTTTTGGCTCCATCGATTTTATGCTGAAATACTTATGACATTCGGACCAATCGGATTTTTTGAATCATTGCATTTGATCTGCAAGGCGTTTTTTTATTTAAATCAGTACGCATTTTCCATAGTGCTAGCGACATTGTTTAGTCTTTTTTTCAGGCAAACGTTTCTCTCTCGAGCCTAACCGCATTATCCCTGCCGGTATGTCCCGCATTTCTCGGTCCTTCAACTCCTCTCTGCGCAACGCGCTGGCTAACATGAATGAGCTCGTGATTCGGAAAGTTGTTCCCGTTTCATCTCAGTACGCAAGCACCGGTATCCTCTATTCGTCTCCACGAGTAGCCTCCAACATTTCGAACAAACGCTCTACTTTGAATGAAAACTTAGATGCTAGTCTCGAGGCCCGACGTTTGGCCAGTTTTCCATCTGGTCAACCTCCTGATGAAACCTTTGTCCCCGCCATCGAACGATATGATTGGCCCGCTCCTGCCTCCACAGCCGTTATGACCTCAGAAATGAGTAAGTACTCATAGCTTTCTCGGAACTTGGATGATCACTTTTGGGATAATGATATGATTCTCTTGCTGTTTCTTCGTGTTAGTTTCCTATAACCTATACACCTACATTAGCCCTACTGTACGATTTTCCAAATATTTATTAGTGGGGTCGTGTTGTTTTTATTTTTCGAATGTATTTGAACAAAAAATTCTATTTCCTAGGCTTAAGGTATTTAATTTTTCCTGCTCATCGATTATTAGTAAAGGTAGGGTAATGCTCGCTATTGTCAAATGATCGCGTTGCTGCAGACAACCTATAAACCTGAACAAGGTCGACATATACATTACCTTTTCTGATGTCCTTCTGACCTGCTGTAGATTACTATAATCCGAAATTTATCACAACACAAACAAAAACTCAACTATCAGGTAATTAAATAGCCATGACGGAGGAGGCGGACAACACAAGCTGTCCCCAAGCCACGAACTTCCAACCCACCAGTGACATGTTACTTTGCGTTAGTCATTTGTGCGACATTAATATTTTCCGTTCCGAGAGCTCTATATGAAGGTAGACAATGTTTTTTATCTACCTGAACGTCCATCACTGTCCATAGATCTCGGTGAATCTAATAAGATTCATATCTCCTACCTTGCATCATTAGCACACTGGCTTTGTGGTGGTCAAATAGTCATTTTTTCCTTTTCCTTACTTCATAGATCGCATACATTAATTATCATCATACTGTCTCCGTAATCGTTTTTAAATGTCACAAACTTTTATTTTTTGCTTTTTACTTTTACGATTATGAAGGACATCGGTTGTAATTAGTTCGTGTGAGCTTAGGCGTACTTACATGACGTTGCGTCTGTTATTAGCTGTGGCTGTATTTTAAGGATTGCCTCCACAGCATGCCATAGAAAACGGAATTTAAGTATGTGAAGTACCTAGAAAACAACCGCAATAAAATTAAACTGAAATGTGAACCGAAATGCCGTTCACTGTATAAAATATAGACGTAAAGATCTCGTAATGTTATATGCATGACTATGTTTATATTAAAGTTTTAATTAAAGTGCCCAGAAGGCACTTTTTACCCTTTGTTTAACCAAATATGGACGCTGAAGAGGTTTTGTGCTGCCCATTGCATGATTCTTTGTTAGATAGATTATTTTCCTCAGGTTTGCAGAAATGCGTGTATGGTCGTGACTCTCTTTACTGTTGATTACTTAAAGCATGGGTTCATCGAGCTTTTCTTCCACGCTTACTGGTCAGTGTTAGAATTTAACTGTTAACTTCATTGTGCTAGCATTCCAGGTCGTCCTTCCACTTAACCGTTTTTGATAACCAATAGTCGCCCAAAATTAGGAAGACTATTCATGATTTTCTTGCGATTATTCTGTTTCCAATCCTTCTCATTTCGTGGTCTGCTTAAATGAGCCTTTTTTGAAATAAATTAAAAACGAGTTATTGTTTTTTTTTAATAAGTAAATTCAGTAAATTTTTATGCTGTCCAGCTTAAGCTGTTTTCTAGAACTAGGCTACATGACCCAAAACATGTACTACAGCACAAGCATGCAGTGTTTAGTTCAATGATTCTTTGCTTTGCAGTGCGTGAACGGCGGCAACGGCTGCGTGAACAGGGCGTTCTGCATGATAATTCCGAAGAAAGTATCGAAGATCTCAGTATTGACGCGTCAGTGGGCAGTCACTCCGAATTGGATCGCACGTCCGGTATTGAAAGGGTGAGCTTTTGTTCATTCTTTGCATATTTGGTATTGATTCTGGCTAGTCATCATCCATAACTTGACTCAAAACTCGTAAAAAATCTCATTCTTACATTTAAGCACATGACAGGCTTGTTTCTAGGCTTACTCATCCATACATATTTTCATTTTAGTAATTACTTTTTTACGTTTAGCCATTTACACACTGGCTATTTAATATCGAGGGTTACAAAAGTGCGCTAATTATATAGACTTCCATTATACCTCAAACCACCACATTGTCTGTGAAATAATCCATATAATAAAATTTAAAGTGTCCCTGTTTTTAAAGTCGTTTGCTAAATCGGCTTTGTTCAATGGCTGCAACGGTGTATTCGCACAGCCTGACCTGCTTCATGGCGTTTCCTTAAATCCTTCACTATTGAATCTCGATTTAGAAGGCTGTTATGTTCCGCAGAACACAGGCCCTCACGAAATCCAAAGACATCACGGATGCTTTAGGTCTTTTAATTGTATGCTGTTAAGGGCAATACCGTATTTTTAAATCATTTACCATAATGCTTGATAGTCTACAAACGACCACTCGAAATCGCGGTGTTGAACGCTTTAAAAAATAGGTAATCACTGAGATTTTCATGGCGAGAACTAGTTATCAATCTTAGTTTGACTGTGGGTCGATGACGTGTATCCTGAAATTCGCCTTGCCTTCTTTTAATCAACACAGTCAACTAAAACTTGTCTATGACGTAGTTAATGGGGCCAAACATCTGTTACTCGCACAGTTTTAATATAATTCAAACTACCTACATCAACTTTACTAATAGACATGGTGTTGATTAGCATTTCCTAATACAACTGCCTCACTAGATAAGAAGTCGGGTTTAAAAAATAAATGTAAAGTTAGCTACACACGTAGAGTCTGCCTGCCCTGGGTAACTTAAATTAAGACACACTGTAGCAAGAATGGGGTGAAAAGTCAAGTTTTTTCTAAATTTTCTAATCACTCTTGGCCAAGTAAGCTTGACTGCGTGAAAATCACCCACATTATATGAGGTGCAAACCTTTTGTAATGAACCA